ACGAGAAACATCACAGCAGAAGTTCTCGGTTTGTGCGAACCCGGAAAATTCATTGAATTTATTGCACAATGAAACGGCGGTGAAGAAATATTCTTGGGAAGGCGGATGAAAACCGCGTTAGGATGGGTGGGGTAAGGCTCGTCCGAAAGAAGACGGCTCATGTCACCTCGTGCGCCGTATTAATTTAACTCATGGCCATGACTTGATCATTAATAACAAAGTTCACAGCCAATAAAGGGATGATGACAAGTGGAACAGTTCTATGAAGAACTTGAAGGCGAATAGCAAAAGACATTCTCCGACACAGTCGTCCAAGGAATTTTCAGCATCTTTGTAGGAAAGAAAGCAACCGAGACTGTGGGTTCCATCGACCGACTCGGAATTTGAGAGAGAAATGATCACGGCCACCGTCTCGTTGCGCTTGCCTATAGTAACTGCCCTCTCACGAATAGAATACCATGTTTGAAAAAGCTGATGTGGCACTGGTCGTGGAGGATCCCTAAAGGAAACTTGCTTAAGCAAATCGACTACCCGCTGACAAGGCCGGTAATAGCAGATGTGTTGATCATTGGAGAAACTATCGCGATCACAGATTGCCCTGCTCCACAGTCATAATCGATGTCGCTAATGAACACTGGGTTAGACGGGCTCAATGACTATCGGCCACTGGATGAATATTTAATCCTGAAACTTCCGCAGAAAACTATCTTCAACTGAACCTCCCAACAGACATCAGCAAAAGCATCGATTCAGACCTCCAGAACCTCATCGATACCATCAAAATTACCATTCTGTCATTCAGCCGGGCAGCAATGTCGATGAGGAAATAACTGACCACCTCTGAATCGAGGTAGCTGCTGGCCAGAACAGCCAGAATGAAGGCTGATGGGCAGTTGTACTGGAAACACACTGCGTTGTGCAAAGGATACGGAAAAAGATTCCAGAGGTGTGGAACAGGTACAATATGACGAATCTGAGAAAGACTGCATTACAAAGGAATAAGTTGAAACCGCGGAAAAGGGTATTCTGAAAAAACAGGAAGATGATTCAGGAAGCATTGAAGAGCGAAAGAGGGACAGAAACCACATATCCTTGGCTCACGAAACTGATCTATATGAGGCTATGCAACAACCTCT